AGCATCTACAGCCCCCCCCCAGCCAGCGTGCTGCTGCGGGAAGGGGAGAGCCTCCACAGGCGCTACATTGACCGGGCTAAGCGTATCGACACCATCTCCCGAGCCGTTTTCCCCTTCACCTTCTTGGTCTTCAATATCTTCTACTGGGTTGTCTACAAAGTGCTGCGCTCAGAGGACATCCACTCGGTGCCCTGAGGCCCAGAAAAGCATGACTGCCTCTCGGACTGACCCCCGCACTGCGCCTGGGCGCCACGAGCTCAGCCAGAACCACATTTCCCTCTGTCCTGGAGCAGCGGCACAGCCGTGCTGGGCCTCGGAGCCTGGACATGTGGCAGCCCCCACGTCCCTTCGGATGCTGGGGCATCGAGGGGGGGGATTGGCAACCCCAGGTCCCCACGGTTAGCTGGAGAGAGGAACCCCTCCTGCATGGTGTCACCCCCGGGTACCCAGGGATGCTGCGCTGCTGGGGGAGCCCCAGGGATGCTGCGCTGCCGTGGCACAGGGGAGCCCCCAGTATTTTGGGATGCTGCACAGCTGGCGGCCAGGGAACACCACCTTCCAGCCAAACACCCCCCACCTCTCCGCACCTTCCATGTCAGGCCACACCACTAAGCTGTGGGCCATCAGCAGCCAGGGAGAGGCTGCAGTCCTCTCTCCTCCCCTGGCCGGGAGCCCGGTTGCAGGAAACAGCAGGCAGCACCCCTGCCTGTGCCCAGACTGCGGGATGCCAGCTATGGCCCCAGAGCCCCCAGCCCAGCAATGGACGGGACCCCTCCAGTCCCCAACCAGCTCCAACGCACAGCAAAGCAGTGAGTCGGGGATGCTTCCCTCCCTGCAGAGCCCGGAGCTGCCTGTGATGCCCGCAGCTGCGGGCAGGACTGGGGCAGGGACACTGGGCAGGGGGCTGCGTTTCCTCCGGGGAAACAACGCCAGCCCTGGGGCAGGCAGAAGGTGAGCCCGATCCTGCTGATGGTGAAGGGGTGCAGACGGCCATTGCTACCACAGATGGGAGCCACTTGGCACTGCGGAGCCGGCACTGCACTACCTGCAGGGAGGGAGATTTTTCAGGATGGAAGTAGTGGGGCCAGCTTGGCCGATCCCTTCGGAGGAGTAGAGTGAGTGGTGACATCACCAGACCGCTGCGTTCCCATGGCACAACAGTGCCAGTAGAAAGCCAGAGGTGAAAACTACCCTGTTCCACAGCTTTCTCTCCACCCTGGTGCGGCATCCCCTGGCGGGGTTCAACCTCGCTGCTCCTCCACCGGAGAGTAGAGCATCCCAAACCTCGACAGGACAAGCTCAGCAAGGCTTCCAGCCCTCCAGACCTGGATATCCTCCGTGCTTAGCAGGAAATAAAAGCAGTAGGTGATGTTTATGTAGGTCCTACAGAGAGATATGTGTTGATGCTCTCCTTTCCCCCTGCTCACAGCCAGCCTGGGGGGGCTCACAGCCCAGCAGGGTCCATCCACGCAAAGCCCTGGGTGGAGGACAGGGCCCAAGGTCTTCCAGGCAGGGCAGAATGGAAATGGGATTCGCCCCTTTCCTTGGAGGCTGTGGTGCCACCATGGCACAGTGAGGGCACTGGTGACCTGCCTGTCATGGCAAAGGGGACCCTGCAGGGCAGGGGGACGTGGGCGGGAGGCCAGCACTGCCTGCTGAAGCCAGACCTGGGCAGAAACCCCCACCATGGTCCCTGGCCCCGCTCCTTGCGCAGGCATCACCCTCTCCCTCGCATGACTCAACTGGGAGCAAAGCCCCGCATCCCCACCCCATGCCCAGCCCCCTGAACCCTGCAGAGCGCTCACCCACATGCACCCATTTCACAGATGGGGCAAGTAGAGAAGAACCAGCCCCAAGCCACTCCCAGGACCCACCAGGATGGGCCAAGCCAGCTCCATCCCACCGCCGCCACCGTGCATGCCTTCCCTACCATGCGTCCAGGCCAGGCTTTTGAGACTCGTTTTTGGGGAGCCCCCATTTGGAGGCGGAGGAAGGGGTGCACCTCGTCTCCTCGTCTCGGCCAGCACCCTCGAGGCAGCGCCCAAAAGGGAGGGGCCCGCGCCCCG